CCAGCGTTACGAGTCAAGCGTTACAGAGTCAAGCGTTACAGAGTCAAGCGTTATTAAGTCAAGTGTTACTGAGTCAAGCGTTACTGAGTCAAGTGTTACTGAGTCAAGTGTTACTGAGTCAAGCGTTACTGAGTCAAGTGTTACTGAGTCAATCGTTACTGAGTCAAGTGTTACAGAGTCAAGTGTTAATGAGTCAAGTGTTACTGACTGAAGCGTTACTGAGTCAAGTGTTACTGAGTCAAGCGTTACTGAGTCAAGCGTTACTGAGTCAAGCGTTACTGAGTCAAGCGTTACTGAGTCAAGTGTTACTGAGTCAAGCGTTACTGAGTCAAGTGTTACTGAGTCAAGCGTTACTGAGTCAAGTGTTACTGAGTCAAGCGTTACTGAGTCAATTTTTACTGAGTCAAGCGTTACTGAGTCCCAAACGTTTTCTGAGTCAAGTGTTACTGAGTCAAGCGTTACTGAGTCAAGTGTTACTGAGTCAAGCGTTACTGAGTCAAGTGTTACTGAGTCAAGCGTTACTGAGTCAGGTGTTACCGAGTCAAGCGTTACTGAGTGGCGCTTTACTGAATCAAGTGTTACTGAGTCAAGTGTTACAGAGTCAAGTGTTATACTCCATAAACAACCTTTAAAAATAAGGTATATGTGTGTGTGTTCACCTAGTTGTGGTTGCAGGGGTCGAGTCATAGCTCCTGGCCCCGCCTCTTCACTGGTCGCTACTAGGTCACCCCGTGCTCCATAAGCTTTATCATACCTCTTCTTAAAGGTGTGTAATTGTGTGTGTGTGTGTGTGTGTGTGGTGTGTTGTGTGTTTGGTGTTGTGTGTGTGGGGTGTTGTGTGGGGTGGTGTGTGTGTGTGTGTGCGTGGGGTGTGTGTGGTTGTGTGTGTGTGTGTGTGTGTGTGGGGTGTGTATGTTGTGTTTTTGTATGTGTGTGTGTACTCACCTAAATTTTACTCACCTAATTGTGTTGCAGGGCGAGACTCAGCTCCTGGCCCCCCCTCTTCACTGATCGCTACTGGGTCCCTGTCTCTCTGCTTCCTGAGCTTGTCATACCTCTCTTAAAACTATGTATGGTTCCTGCCTCCACTACTTCACTTGCTAGGGTATTCCACTTGCTGACAACTCTATGACTGAAGAAATACTTCCTAACGTCCCTGTGACTCGTCTGAGTCTTCAGCTTCCAGTTGTGACCACTTGTCCCTGTGTCCCCTCTCTGGAACATACTATTTCTGTCCGCCTTGTCTATTCCCCGCAGTATCTTGTATGTCGTTATCATGTCTCCCCTGACCCTTCTGTCCTCCAGTGTCGTCAGTCCGATTTCCCTTAACCTTTCCTCGTACGACATTCCCTTGAGCTCTGGAACTAGCCTTTTTGCAAACCTTTGTACTTTCTCTAGCTTCTTGACGTGCTTGACCAGGTGTGGGTTCCAGACTGGTGCTGCATACTCCAGTATGGGCCTAACAAAACACAGTGTAAAAGTGTCTGAACGATTCCTTATTAAGGTATCGGAACTCTATTCTCAGGTTTGCCAGGCGCCCGTATGCTGCAGCTGCAGCAGTTATTTGGTTGATGTGTGCCTCCGGTGATGTGTGTGTGTGTGTGTGTGTGTGTGTGTGTGTGTGTGTGTGTGTGTGTGTGTGTGTGTGTGTGTGTGTGTGTGTGTGTGTGTGTGTGTGTGTGTACTCACCTATTTGTGGTTGCAGGGGTCGAGTGTGTGTGTGTGTGTATGTGTGTGTGTGTGTGTGTGTGTGTGTGTATGAACTCACCTGGCCCCGCCTCCTCACCGATTGCTACTGGGTCCTCTCTCTCCCCGCTCCAGGAGCTTTATCAAACCTCTTCTTAAAACTGTGTATGGTTCCTGCCTCCACCACGTCACTTTCTAGGCTATTCCACTGCCTGACAACTCTATGACTGAAGAAATACTTCCTAATATCTCTCTGACTCATCTGTGTCTTCAACTTCCAATTGTGACCTCTTGTTTCTGTGTCCTCTCCGTGGAATATCCTGTCTTTGTCCACCTTGTCTATTCCGCGCACTATTTTACATGTCGTTATCATGTCTTCCCTGACCCTCCTGTAATCCAGTGTCGTCAGGCCGATTTCCCTTAACCTTTCTTCATAGGGCATTCCCCTTAGCTCTGGAACTAACCTTGTCGCAAACCTTTGCACTTTCTCTAGTTTCTTGACGTGCTTTATCAAGTGCGGGTTCCAAACAGGTGCTGCATACTCCAGTATGGGGCCTGACGTACACGGTGTACAGTGTCTTGAACGATTCCTTATTAAGGTATCGGAACTCTGTTCTCAGGTTTGCCAGGCGCCCATATGCTGCAGCAGTTATCTGGTTGATGTGTGCTTCCGGAGACATGCTCGGTGTTATACTCACCCCAAGATCTTTCTCCTTGAGCGAGGTTTGCAGTCTTTGGCCACCTAGCCTATACCTTGTCTGGGGTCTTCTGTGCCCTTCCCCTATCTTCATGACTTTTCATTTGGCCGGATTAAATTCGAGAAGCCAGTTGCTGGACCAGGTGTCCAGTCTGTCCAGGTCTCTTTGAAGTCCTGCCTGATCCTCATCTGATTTAATTCTCCTCATTAACTTCACATCATCTGCGAACAGGGACACTTCTGAGTCTAACCCTTCCATCATGTCATTCACATATACCAAAAATAGCACTGGTCCTAGGACCGACCCATGTGGGACCCCGCTCGTCACAGGTGCCCATTGTGATACATCATTACGTACCATTACTCGTTGTTGCCTCCCTGTCAGGTATTCTCTGATCCATTGCAGTGCCCTTCCTGTTATATGCGCGTGATCGTCTAGTTTGTGCACTAATCTCTTGTGAGGAACTGTGTCGAAGGCCTTCCTGCAGTCCAAGAATATGCAATCAACCCACCCCTGATTGTGTGTGTATGTGTGTGTGTATGTGTGTGTGTGTATGTGTGTGTATGTGTGTGTGCGTGTGTGTGTGTGTATGTGTGTGTGTGTGTGTATGTGTGTATGTGTGTGTGTGTGTGTTGTGTGTGTGTGTGTGTATGTGTGTGTGTGTGTGTATGTGTTTATGTGTGTGTGTGTATGTGTGTGTGTGTATGTGTGTATGTGTGTGTGTGTGTGTGTGTGTGTGTGTGTGTATGAATGAGTGTGTGTGTGTATGTGTAGTGTGTGTGTGTGTGTGTTGTGTGTGTGTGTGTGTGTGTTTGAGCACACACAAACACACCAAGATGGATGCTCGAACAGTCGAAAAATAGACTGAACCAACATGAAAAAAACATTTCCGATCGCAGTATGGGTAAGACTCGAACCCTCGGCAAGCTCGTCCTAAAACTTACAGTAATGTTATTACGATTTTCTAAGTCATGAAAGAACATTTCTCTCAGCTGCCAAGTCTAAGCAGCAAATATTCCTCTAGGGGTTAAAACGTAGAGGATGTGTATAGGAGAGGAACGTCGTGACGACGTTTCGGTGAGCCCTGGATCATCGTTGAGTCACAATTTACAGTGAACCAGGAGGAACCGAAAAGTCGCCGTAAGATTCTTTCACCAAGTTATGGTTTTTGGTGAATTGTTACCGTCACCCAGGATGTGGTAACTGTCTACTCATCCCGTCACCCAGGATGTGGTAACTGTCTACTCATCCCGTCACCCAGGATGTGGTAACTGTCTACTCATCCCGTCACCCAGGATGTAGTAACTGCCTACTCATCCCGTCACCCAGGATGTGGTAACTGTTTAGTCATCCCGTCACCCAGGATGTGGTAACTGTCTACTCATCCCGTCACCCAGGATGTGGTAACTGTCTACTCATCCCGTCACCCAGGATGTGGTAACTGTCTACTCATCCCGTCACCCAGGATGTGGTAACTGTCTACTCATCCCGTCACCCAGGATGTGGTAACTGTCTACTCATCCCGTCACCCAGGATGTGGTAACTGTCTACTCATCCCGTCACCCAGGATGTGGTAACTGTCTACTCATCCCGTCACCCAGGATGTGGTAACTGTCTACTCATCCCGTCACCCAGGATGTAGGTAACTGTCTACTCATCCCGTCACCCAGGATGTGGTAACTGTCTACTCATCCCGTCACCCAGGATGTGGTAACTGTCTACTCATCCCGTCACCCAGGATGTGGTAACTGTCTACTCATCCCGTCACCCAGGATTTGGTAACTGTCTACTCATTCCGTCACCCAGGATGTAGTAACTCTACGCTCATCCCGTCACCCAGGATGTAGTAACTCTCCGCTCATCCCGTCACCCAGGATGTAGTAACTGTCTACTCATCCCGTCACCCAAGATGTAGTAACTGTCTACTCATCCCGTCACCCAGGATGTAGTAACTCTCCACTCATCCCGTCACCCAGGATGTAGTAACTGTCTACTCATCCCGTCACCCAGGATGTAGTAACTCTCCACTCATCCCGTCACCCAGGATGTAGTAACTGTCTACTCATCCCGTCACCCAGGATGTAGTAACTGTCTACTCATCCCGTCACCCAGGATGTAGTAACTGTCTACTCATCCCGTCACCCAGGATGTAGTAACTCTCTACTCATCCCGTCACCCAGGATGTAGTAACTGTCTACTCATCCCGTCACCCAGGATGTAGTAACTGTCTACTCATCCCGTCACCCAGGATTGTAGTAACTGCTCCTACTCATCCCGTCACCCAGGATGTAGTAACTGTCTACTCATCCCGTCACCCAGGATGTAGTAACTCTCCACTCATCCCGTCACCCAGGATGTAGTAACTCTCCACTCATCCCGTCACCCAGGATGTAGTAACTCTCCACTCATCCCGTCACCCAGGATGTAGTAACTCTCTACTCATCCCGTCACCCAGGATGTAGTAACTATCTACTCATCACTGATATAGACAGGCAGAGCTACAGTCTCGTGTCTGGGATGATAAAAACACATCGTATTGTATGATTTATTTCTAGAGTCAATATAAACGTATAAACAGCTCTATTACGTCAATTGTATAATACAACTACCCTAGAATGAATAAATCTTATAAACCTTTCAAAATAGTTGAATATTCAACGTAAAATTTGCATACCAATTATTCACACTAAGATTTCTGAAAAGACAAGAAAACTACAACCAGCTTCTGTTTTCTTTCTGAAAGATCAGGAAAATAATTCGAGCCAAGAATTTCTTCCATTGTCTTGTCTGTAATGTCTGAGAAATTTGTAAATTTAACTTTTCTCTTGGCGGAAATAATTGTAAATTATGGAATTTATTTTTTTGAATCAGGTCACATCGGAAATATAAATGTTAAGAAAAGGACTTGGTTTAATAAATAACATTGTTGTAGAGTTATGCACGAGCTTCAGCTGCGTAATGACAAGTGATTTCGTACCACGAACTTCACGTACATCAATATTCTTTTGAGGGATACTCAAGCATTCTGGATACCGGTGTTTTTATTTCTGAAATATGCTTGACTTTGTTCTCTAGTTGATAGTCTTTCACGTTTCAGTCTCAGGTGATGCTTATCCCAGTGTCTTGATCTCTGGGTGTTAAGAGCTTGTGAGTGCTAGTGTGAGAACTATCATTGGGATGTAGCGTCTTGACAGCATCAGGAAGGTTCTTGAGGAGGTCCAACACTTCCCCACACTCTGGTACTAGAGGCTTGAGGCTGCCTTCCTCCGGTGACTCAGTGCGCAAACCTGAAGAACAAAAGCCAAAAAGTGTAAAATGTATAGACAAGAAAAGGGACCGAGCAGAGGAAGGGAAGGACATGTATTTTTCTCTATAGGAAAACCATTCGTGATGTTATACCTCCGAGCGGAACTGCAAACAGAACTTCTTTTTAGAAATGGAAGCAGGGTCAGTGTAATCTGGAGAACTAGTGGCTTACCCACACCAACACATCATCTACACATCTTACTTCTAAAGGAAAATAACCATTTTTAACAGCTCAGACAGTTCCTGATTTTACATCGAATTGGAGGAGAATGATTGAGATAATTCGTAGAGTACTGAACAGTAATAAATACAATTAACTAGTTTCACTCTCGTGCTGACCTAAGACAGTAGAAGAGAGCGAGCCAGAGGGTGAGCCATCTCCCTCGTAAGCATAAGCTCGGAGGTCATCTTGAGCCAGTAAATTTTGCACAGAGCCTACACTAACATCTACGATGATCTGTCGTGGTCTTGGTGGTGTTGTAGAGCATATTGTAGTTGAACACACCGACGTCGGACACACTGTGGCTGTAGAGCGAGCTGTTGAAGCACACACTAACTGTGGAACACTTGCTCTGTGTTCCAGCACAACACTTTCCGCCGTGGTAGTGACGGCAGCGACGGAACATCTCCGAGAGTTAGTTGCACTCTCTAAACTTTCCCCTGCGGAAGCTCTGATAGTGCTTCCTAGAACTCCTTGTCTGACCTCCCTGATGATCACAGCCTCACCACCGACACTAGACAGTCCTAATGGAGTAATTAAGTGTCGTGTGCCTGTAACAGGGAAACACTGCTTTACGTTGTGCATGTTTCTGAATATAGCGATGCTTCTATAAAATAATGTAGTATTATTAATATCCATAAAATAAATTAATGTTACGCATTATATGGCTGGCAAACGGAATCTTTGTTATACATTGTTGATATACGAACATATGAAGCTGGCATTTTATTTAATCTGAAAACCAAAGACTTTAGAATCTACAGAAAATAAATTAATAATACAGGATAGATACACCGAGAAATGTATTTCTCGGTGTATCTATCCTGTATTATTAATACCGTGACTGGAAAAATACACGAATAACCCGGACATGGGAGAGAGGAGCTTACGACGACGCTGACTTTGTAAATGGTCCAAGTCGGACCGGAACGTCGTCGTAAGCTCCTGTCTCCAATGTGCAGGTTATTTGAGTATTTCTCTTAAAGTATATACATACCCATGTTTTAGGCATTAAAGCAATCTTGTAAAAAGGTTACGTGTAACTAGTGTAGTTGATAGGGTTTAACCCCCCCATTAACTTAATTAAATAGCATATTTCATGAAGAATAACTATTGGTTCTGACATTATCGGGACTAACTACATTTAATCTATTGTATAACTTTAGTTTCAAAAGTTAGGTTAGGTAAGATGCCTCAGGAAACAGGACAATTGTTTCCTAACGCGGGTCTTAGTCATATGATGACCCACCACTGGAGGTTTTTGGTCATCTGACCGAGACCTTTCCCTGGCTTACCCCTCCACCTCTTTAAAAATTAAGATAAAGTAACAGATACTATTAATTGAAACAGATGACATATTTTCAATAAATGTATTTAAATTCGAGAATAATTTTTTGTAATAGTCAAACAATACCAACTCTAATATTTTTTTTTAATTAAACAGAAGATTAATATGTGTTATTTCTGGTTTCTTCTCTGTGCTCAGGAGTAACAGTGAATACTGAAATAATTGAAGAGATTCCATGACACACAGTTCATGGGACAGAATCTGTTTGTGTGATCATGTTGCTTCCTTCCCTCAGATGACATCACAAACTGTTATTATTATACTTCAGACCTCCAGGGGTCAGGATAATCTATTTATTAGATAGTGTGATACTAATATCTCATATCTTCATGGGGCAGAATAATCTGTTTGCTGGATAATTTGATCCTAAAACTTTATACCTTCAGGGGAGAGGATAATTTGTTTGCTGGGTGGCTTGGTTTTGAGGGAATCCATGAAGACTTTCTCATCCTTGGTTGTTTGGTTGTGGGAGTTGTCACTGACTGCTTGGACTGCCATAGGCGATCCCAAGACTCCCGTCACACCCTCGATGCCTGCTGGACGCAGAGCCAAGGCCCGCGCTGCACGGGACCGCTGCAGTCGGATATTCAACAGCACACCAATTGCAACTGTCAAGAAAAGAACGAAATTCATAATGCCATGGCTGGAATCATTCACAACTACTCCTCAGTACCATGGGGAATTACTTTTCAAGGAGCTCACAAAGAACAAAGATTACCTCTAATGACCTATGCTAAGAAGGAAACAAGAAGCGAGCAAGGAGGAAGTAGTAGACTGAAGAGGTGAAGGTTATACAGAAGACAGACCAGAAGAAAGGTGAGGAGAAGGCAAAGATCAGGTCAAGTGACGAATGTTGTAAAAATCAGAGCATCTGCCAGTGTTCTGAGTAAGGAAGGCATCGCAAGAAAAATTCCTGGATATGGAGCAAAGATATACTAAAATTTCGATAGGTTGGCTCTGAAAATTCCGTTTTAAAAAAACTGCCGTACAGAATTCTTGAACAATTAATAAATAAGAAATCTAGGTAATTTAAAAACCAACAACCACAATAAAATATGCAAATATTGAAAGTGCGGAGACTAAGAATAAATGGTGAAGGTGGTTGTGACAAGAATACAACTCACCAACAATAATTACAGAGAGTGTAAGAGCAGCTATGGCCATAGGTGCTGTGAGGGGGTTCGTGTGGGCTGGCAGCTTGGTCCATTCACAGTTATCTCCTGTGTGTGATGGCCCACACAAACAGTGATAGCCAGGTGTCAGGTTGTAGCAGGTGCCTCCATGTAGACAAGGCTGGAATACACACTCATCAACATCTTGGCAGCTGTGACCCACCAGCTGGTGTCCTGCCTCACAGCTGCAAAGACAACACGAATTATGCATTTGGAACGAATTTACTTGTGTAACTGCATTGAAAACTAATGTGCTGTCGCATGTGTGAGCAACTGCATTTAATTCTTGAAAAATAACTTGTTTTATACATAATTTATTAATGCTGTAGTTAATATGGATTAACGTTTGGATGATTTATCAATAAATTTAGTGAAAGTCCTTAAAGATTATTTTAAGTCAAAAATCATTAAGTTCAGAATTTAATGGTAAAACTTGTTGTTAATAATAACTTCCACTGAACGTATTATAATATCTACTTTACTTAAGAACAAGTTAACAGTGAGTTGTCACTACTTCACTGTGTAACACTGTGTAACACTGTAACACTGTATAACACTGTAACACTGTGTAACACTGTAACACTGTAACACTGTATAACACTGTAACACTGTGTAACACTGTAACACTGTATAACACTGTGTAACACTGTATAACACTGTGTAACACTGTATAACACTGTGCACCACTGTGTAACACTGTATAACACTGTGTAACACTGTATAACACTGTGTAACACTGTGTAACACTGTGTAACACTGTAACACTGTATACCATTGTGTAACACTGTGTAACACTGTAACACTGTAACACTGTATAACACTGTAACACTGTGTAACACTGTAACACTGTATAACACTGTGTAACACTGTATAACACTGTTGTTAACACTGTGTAACACTGTGTAACACTGTGTAACACTTGTAACACTGTTAACACTGTTAACACTGTGTAACACTGTGTAACACTGTGTAACACTGTAATAACACTGTATAACACTGTGTAACACTGTGTAACACTTTATACTGTAACACTGTAACACTGTATAACACTGTGTAACATGTATAACACTGTTAACACTGTGTAACACTGTGTAACACTGTGTAACACTGTATAACACTGTATAACACTGTGTAACACTGTATAACACTGTATAACACTGTGTAACACTGTGTAACACTGTGTAACACTGTATAACACTGTATAACACTGTGTAACACTGTATAACACTGTATAACACTGTGTAACACTGTGTAACACTGTGTAACACTGTATAACACTGTGTAACACTGTGTAACACTGTATAACACTGTGTAAACTGTATAACACTTGTAACACTGTGTAACACTGTATACCTGTATAACACTGTATAACACTGTGTAACACTGTGTAACACTGTGTAACACTGTGTAACACTGTATAACACTGTATAACACTGTGTAACACTGTATAACACTGTATAACACTGTGTAACACTGTGTAACACTGTAACACACTGTATAACACTGCGTAAACACTGTGTAACACTGTTAACACTGTGTAACACTGTGTAACACTGTATAACACTGTATAACACTGTAAACACTGTATAACACTGTGTAACACTGTGTAACACTGTATAACACTGTATAACACTGTGTAACACTGTATAACACTGTATAACACTGTGTAACACTGTGTAACACTGTGTAACACTGGTAACATGTAAACACTGTGTAACACTGTATAACACTGTGTAACACTGTGTAACACTGTATAACACTGTATAACACTGTGTAACACTGTATAACACTGTGTAACACTGTGTAACACTGTATAACACTGTGTAACACTGTATAACACTGTGTAACACTGTGTAACACTGTATAACACTGTGTAACACTGTGTAACACTGTGTAACACTGCTAACACTGTGTAACACTGTGTAACACTGTATAACACTGTGTAACACTGTGTAACACTGTATAACACTGTATGTAACACTGTATAACACTGTGTAACACTGTGTAACACTGTTAACATGTAACACTGTGTAACACTGTAAACACTGTATAACACTGTATAACACTGTATAACACTGTATAACACTGTATAACACTGTATAACACTGTGTAACACTGTGTAACACTGTAACACTGTATAACACTGTAACACTGTGTAACACTGTATAACACTGTATAACACTGTGTAACACTGTATAACACTGTGTAACACTGTGTAACACTGTATAACACTGTATAACACTGTGTAACACTGTATAACACTGTATAACACTGTATAACACTGTATAACACTGTATAACACTGTATAACACTGTATAACACTGTATAACACTGTATAACACTGTATAACACTGTGTAACACTGTATAACACTGTGAACACTGTGTAACACTGTGTAACACTGTAACACTGTATAACAACTGTAACACTTTAACATTCTCTTTATTAACACTGTTAACACTGTGTAACACTGTCTAACAGTGTATAACACTGTGTAACACTGTGTAACACGTGTCTTTAACACTGTTAACACTGGGATAACACTGTTAAACTGGTAAGAACACTGTTAACACTGTCATAACACTGTATACATGTGTAACATGTGTAACACTGTGGTTTACACGTATAACACTGTAATAAACATGTAGTAACACTGTATAACACTGTGTAACACTGTGTAACATGTTGTAACACTGTAACACTGATAACACTTAACACTGTGTAACACTGTATAACACTGTGTAAACACTGTATAACACTGTATAACACTGTGTAACACTGTATACATGTATAACACCTGTATAACACTGTGTAACACTGTGTAGATGCACTGTGTAACACTGTATAACACTGAAAACACTGTGTAACACTGTATACACTGTATACACTGAACAGTACACTGGTAACACTGTGTAACACTGGTAACACTGTATACACTGTTAACACGTACATAACACGTTAACACGTACAACATGTAAACACTGTGTAACACTGTGTAACACTTTAACACTGGTACACATGCATTTACACTACATGTTAAACACTGTTAAACGTGAACATGTAGACACTGTTAACACTGTGTAACACTGCATAACACTGTGTTAAATGTGTAACACTGTTAACACTGTATAACACTGTGTACACACATGTGTAACACTGTGTAACACGTTAACACGTGTAACATGAATGGGTAACACTGTATAACACGTATACACTGTGTAAACTGTGTAACACTGCATAACTACTGTGTACACGTGTAACACTGTTAACACTGTGAAAACTGTGTAACACTGATTAACCACTGTGTAACATCTTATACACTGTGTAACCTGGTAACACTGTATAAGCACTGTTAACATGTGTCATGTCTAAGGATTTAACAAACTGTTACATTTCCTGCTAAACAACTGCTAAATGTAAAATGTGTAAAGGAAAATGTGTAACACTGTTACTCTGTGTATCACTGTTGTCACTGTATACACTGTATAAATGTGTACACATATGACAGTTACAGGTAACACTGTATAACTGGTAAATGTATAACACTGTATAACACCTTGTAACCTTAAACCTTATACAAGTGAAGCATGTATACACTGTAACATTGTAACACTGGTAAATGTAACATGTGTAACATGTGTACATGTATAACTTGTAACTGTAACACTGATAACACTGGTACAAAATGTATACACTGTTCAGCTTTAACACTTATAACTTTACTAAGTCCTATAAATTCGTGCTCTTAAATCCAACAGTTTCTTGTTAAAACACTATATGCGTTCTTTAAGTCTTATTAGTCATCAAACTGAGGTTCTTAGGAGTTCAAGAGCGTAACCAACCCACAGGGATTTTTTGCGAAAATGATGGAGGTTCTCAGGGAAGGGTAATTCGAGGCCCCTTACTTTTTTGGTGAAAGTTTGAAGGTCTTAGAAGAGTGTACAATCCCCCTATATATATGGTGAAAATTAAAGTACTGAAGAGTTCATTGCAAACCACCCTTAGAGATTCTTAGTGGCAAGTGAGGCAGTTCATGAGGAAAAGTGACACGACTCGGTACCAGAAAGTCAGACAAGTAGACATAACTATGTATATAAACTATGTACATAACTAACACAGTACAAAATAAACAGGCATGTAACAGCTTTACATACAAAGCATTTACCTACATTCCTTAAACCTTCTACAAACCAAATTGCCTTTTTTTTTCACTAACTCTCCTGCTCGTTAGAAATTGCCCTCACCTGCAGGTTGCATGTCTCCACGAGTCCTGGCACACCAGAGGAGGCAGACAGGTAACGTTAGTGCAGGAATCAGGGGCGGAACAACCTGATTCGATATTCTGGAGGGTAGTTACTTTACTCCAGCTGCTGCTATTCACAGAAGGCGCAAGTGGAAGGGAGTGACCTGATACCCGGACATCATCAATACAACCTGGTGAAATTAAAGACTGTTAAATTGTATGTCAAGGTTTTAACAAACTGGTAGCTTCCCACAGACAACGTGGCCTAAAAAAATGAAATGGGAAAATGTGTTCATTTACTCGTTGTTTATTTGTCTTTTCGTAAGTTTACAGATATTGACAATTCCAGGATTCATTAAACTGACAGAGTTTAACTGCTCACAACACTCATTTAACAGCTAATCATTAGCATTCTACGTTTATATCTGAACTATAACTATAGCTTATTATAATTAATTATTATTATTATTATTATTATTATTATTATATTATTATTATATTTTTAATATCAAGGGAACCGCTAAACGTAGGATTATACAGCGCTGGGGGGGGAAATGCATTCAGTAATTCGGGAACTGGACACAGATCCAATTCCTAAACAAAAGCCAAAATAACTATAGCTTATTATAATTAATTATAATGATTATCTATTATATTATATATATTATTATTTTATGATTATCAATATTATTATTATTATAATTATTTATTATATATTGTTTAGAAGTAGTGTGAGGAATATCATTAAATTTACCTGGTTAATTTTTAACACATCATACAATGCCATTAAAAAATATGGGTAATGTGAAAACATGTCAATATTATACACACCGAAATAAATTATCTTTTCAGTATATATACGAGGAATAGATTATTTCAATGAATATGCAGACCAATATGATATTTCTGAGTATGCATACAAAAAGAGATTTATACATGTATATACAGTGAGAGTCGTGACTTGATAATACTCTAGAGTCTAGAGTCAAGGATGAACCAAAATACCATCTATAATTTACTCTCCACAGAGTTAGTTATTCACAGATTTTTATTAACACATCAGCCGTTTCCCACCAAGGCAAGGTGACCCGAAAAAGAAAAACCTTCACCGTCATTCACTGCATCACTGTCTTACGCTTACACTACAGTTATAAAACTGCAACATTAACACCCCTCCTTCAGAGTGCAGATACTGTACTTCCCATCTCCAGGACTCAAGTCCGGCCTGTCGAATAATTTACTTTAGTCAGGGGCGGATTTAGACATGGCGAGACTCTAAGCGATGTGAAGCTGCGGAGGCACTACCGGGCAAGTGGTAACAGAAGAAACAAGGCTATGTAACAACTGTATTAAGGCAAGAATGGTGCCATGATGCATAACAATCCCGGGAGGGTGTTGGAGGATTACTCTATTTATAATTGAAAATAATATTCCTTAGAATTATACAGGTTAAAGACATATATTAAGAAAATAAAACTGCAAATTCGTCCCCAGTGACTGAATGTATTGTAATTAATAAAAGTAGTGTGTCAGGTTTGGGTGTAAGGCCGGATTTAAGGATACGCGATTGAAAAATAAATTCTGAAATTTTGAGAGGCTCTTCCAGCCTGTTAGGCTCTAAGCTGTAGTTTGTTTAGATTATGCCTAAATACTGCCCTGATTTTATTCCTTAGAGATGAGAGTATCCTAAACTTGTAGTGTACATGTGATTTGCAGCTTAAATAATTTATGTTTAGTCAATAGGCTTTACATAATATTATTAATATTATATAATTTACAGCTAATGCGATGAGTAACGATTAAAGCTTATTAATTCTAGTAAGAGTTTTATAGATTTGAAAGTTGTTGTATGTGATAATACAGATTAAAATAGATTATGATTAATTATAAAGGAAGAATTATCGACAGTATGTGAGGATAAAGGACATATGTGCAACTAATGTGACATTTTATTGTGGCAACGTTTCGCTCTCGTTTCACTTGACAAAGCTCCTGGAGAGCGAAACATTGCCGCAATAAAATGCCCAATTTGTTGTACATGTGTCCTTTTTCCTAGCACCAGTAGGATTTCTTACTGTTTCTTAGATCGTCGTGCACTGTCAGAAGATCATTGTCCACAAACTGTGGGATGCCACCCACAAGTGTTCCATCCTGAGTGTCGACAAGGAGAGGTGTGGGTGGCTGGGTCACCACAGCCTGCATGTCTCCCAGGATGGTGGTGGTGAGGAGAGACATCAGTGTCTCATTCTGTCGCCAGCCATCACTATCATCCACTGAGACGACCAGGTTGTGTCCATGACGACCTGCTCTTATAGTGTGCCATGACCCATCACCCACGGAGAAGCTCTCTAAACAGACCTCCTGCAGAGTTATCTCCACTCCAGAAATTGTTGCACATGCTACACCCCCTCGTAGCTGTTGACACATCATGATAATCATCTTTCACGCAGTTTTTTTTCACAGTGGTTATTTTGCATATTGTGACATGCATATTCTGTGCATTATTTTAAATAAGAAATAGTTTAACTTTGAATTATTTTATTTCATTTACTAAAATAATTTTGAGGAGGTCATGCAATATGATGTAATGGGACCGAATCTAACTCATTAACATTACTTTTAAATTGTCATGATATGATTAATAATTAACATATTTCATATGAGAACTGTTTAACAATTACTTGAATTAACTCTGAGTCATTAAACGAATAACAATACATAATGAGTTTACATGTAGTTTCAAGGCTTGGGTTTGTTGTGTGTCAGTGAGCTGCATCAGGAGGCCATGAGGACGACCACTCGTTCTCACTCGAAGTTGTAGCGTCACATAATAAGGGTCAGGGGAGTACGACAACTCGACCTTGCTGTACGATGACTGACCAAGGGCAACAGGTATGGTGGGTGTGCTACACCCAGGTCCTGTCCATCCTGGTGTGCACTCACACCTAGGACTAATGAGACCGTCAACACAATGACCGTGAACACCGCAGGGAACAGGAGTGTTCTCACAGGCTAACTGTTGAGGTGTGCAGCCCTGAACACTCGCACTGCTGTAAGCTGGCTCACCCAGGTCGACTAGCTGAGGAACAGATCAATATTTAAGTGTGTTTATTACGTGTGATGGTTATAAAAAGCAGAAGTAAGTAGCTTACATCACTCTCTTTTATGGTTTCGTGTTATCTCACTATCTTAATCATTTAAAAAAAGATATAACGTGATTCAGTCAAGTCAGTCAAGAGACTGAACCATATACTGCAGTTTGCAGCCCTTCCCCGCAGAGTCAGAGAGGTAATTACAAGAATGTAACAGCATAAACAGCTAAAAATATAAATGAAAAGATTCACTCAAGCGAGACAACCTGAAGATTAATACACATGTGCAACACCTGGGTATCATCATCAATAAAAATACCCAACTGTTACACATGTGTCTTAACCTTTAATTTCTCGATATTTTATAAATTTTTTAACATAAAACTTAACCTGGTTGTAAATGGCTTGGTGACACCGACAACCTGTATAAAAGGACATTTATTAGAGGACATTTATTTAAGATTAAGTTTATCCACGAGTGACTTCATCAGTCCTAATGCAGAATAAGGTAGAACCTGCACTATCCATTATGCATATCTTCTTTTATTAGGACTGAAGGAGAGGCTCGTGACGAAATTTTTACCTTAATAAATGTTCCGCAGTGAAGACTGGTGTCCTTCTCATAATATTACCTGCCCATTGATGGTGAGATGGGAGATGCAGCCATTCAGTGGCTGTGTAACCAGTCCTCCTGACCAACCAAACTCTGCTGACCGAGGGTATGTGTGAGCCAGACCTCCTAGCTGGAGCGGCACACTGCTGCTCCAGTTCTCAGTGGCTTGAATCTCTAGCCAGGGGGCTCTGGCGACGCAGTGGGAGTCGCTGGTCTTGTTGTCTCCCCAGCCCCGTCCACAACGGTCCACCATAAGTGTTGCTCCCTGGTGGACAGAAGGATGGGTCAAACATTGCAAGATATCGCAGAACAGGTGTGGTTTGAATCTATGGAAAGTGAGGCCTCAAACTCACAGTCCAATGAGTCAAGATAGTGTAAGAAATATTACGTGTAGAAAAGCGGACAAAATGTATAATAGCTTACCAGGGCATTTTTCACTATATCCATCCGAAATATAATATAATATGGTACTTAATAAAAACATCAGCCACAGAGCGTAGTTCACAAATTATATTTGTATTACATTGTTGGTAGTAGTTATACAGTGATGGTGGTAGTAGTTTAGTGTTAGATTTCCTTGGAAAGTGATGGGGTAGTATCATGGTTGTGGGTGGTGTTAAAGGTAGCTTGATAAAGGTGGTGGTAGACTGATAGTTGTGATAGTGTGGTGGTGGTGGTGGTACCCCGATAGTAGTGGAAATAGTTTGGTGGTGTTGGTGGTTGATTGCATGATAGTGGGTACATGAGTTTGATAGTGGGAGAGGTAATTTTGGTTGTGATAAAGGTAGTTTGGTGGCATCTGCCGAATTAAAAACTGGTAGTTTGGTTGTGTTTATTTTTGTTTTGAAATGTTAGTATTTTCTTATTTTTAGTCGTACTAATGTTAATGTTTTGGCAGCCATATTATTTCTATTCTTTCGTGATAAATATTCACTTGAAAGAAATATTTCTAAGATAGCAGAACTTATGCCGCCCTTATGAAATTATTTATCAAGGAAGCAATATTTTATTTAGAATCAAAGCTGTACCTGAGTATTGAGATGCAGGTGCAAGGTGTGCCAAGTGGCACTATCCAGCGTTGTGTTGACGTGAAGCTTCACAGGTCCCATGGCACCTTCTAGTATCAACTGAGGCTGGCCGCCCACCAACTGCAGTGCCAGCATGGGGGTAGGTGGGTAGTGTGGGTGGGAGGAGGAAGATGACAGGGGTCCAGAGTAGAGAATAAGTGCATTTGGGTGTCGAGACATGAGGTGCAGAGAGACTGTGGTAGGTAGACAGGGAGCTAGAGGCTGGACCCAGGCCCATCCTGATCCTGAGAAGGTCCGTGCGAGTACCTTACACTGAGGTCCCCACGACCCTCCTGGACACACACACCTGTTCCACACACACACATACATCACACACACACACTATATATATATATATATATATATATATATATATATATATATATATATATATATATATATATTATATATATATATATTATATATATCTAGCTCAAAGGTAAACTACAAAGTTAATATAAAAGTTTAATGATATGTCGGTCCATCCTGGATCATTATCAAGTCAAAGAGATGAAAGTAAAAGGTGCAGAATACCGACACTTTATGTAGGCAATATTTAAAGTGGAGAGAAAGTTGATTCAAGTCTATTAAACTCACAGAAACTTGCTCTCTAAGAGAAACTTCTTAATTAAGTGTTTGACCTTTTAAACGTTCATGACCAAGTGAAATGTCATCTACTCTAGTTTTCACCTTTAATTTGTGGAAAGTTCGCGAATTATTATAAGCGAATACTGAATAATAGCTTGTTTGTCTCGTGATCAGCGGAAGGAGGATCGAGCCTCCACCAGTTCGTGTGCTGTATGACTCACACGGATTTAGCGCTTAACATATACAAACAATTAATGTTCTTAACAGCATTAATACATTCAGGAATGATGATTGGTGGAGGGAATCAACCCTGATTGGACGGATGTCAATAATCACTCGTGAAAACCAGGATTTATTGATTGGAACTGGAAAATGCAGTGGACAGCTTACCTGCTGCCGGAGTCGGTCCTGACGCAGCGACCACCGTTGAGGCAGGATGCTGGTGTGCAGGTGTCGTCAGCAGTGTGTGTGTGGGTGTGACAGTAATGACCCCGTGTCAGACGCGGTGTCACTAGTGACGTGGTGTTAGTGTCCACCACCTGCCAAGCAACCAACCACACTCAAATAGAAAGTATTGTCGGCTAAATTAGTCTAAATATATTGCTATGTGATTTTCCCACCTTCACAGTGTTTTTATTTATATTTTATGAAATTCGTAGCTTTTTTAAGTATATATCCTAGAGCCTTTATAACGTTTTCAACTATATTTTCTGACCTTATTCTCATTTATACTCTCTCATGCTCTGTAAAAAAGCTCAGGTCACAGGGAAAAAGATCAACTAGAAGTACTTTCTCCTCTTTTATTAAATTATAATTAACCAAATCCAAAGGGAAAAGAGTTAATGACGACATAGACGACTACACACACACCACACACACACACACACACACACACACACACACACACACACACACACACACACACACACACATATATATATATATATAATATAATATATATATATATATATATATATATATAATATATATATATATATATATATATATATATATAATATATACCGAGAGATGCTCAGGATTTGCTCTTTTATTTATAAAATCAAGGAACTGGTGTAGTTAGAACCCATGGCAAGTGAATCCTAAGACTCACAAGTCAGTGCCCACTGACCTGTGAGTTTGAGGACTCACTTGACATGGAGCCCCACCCGTTCCCTGGTTTGTTTACAATCGTGTTTAATACCTGTTTTTTTTTTTTAATTAAAGTATTCTTGTCTGCTGGTGACAAGATCACCCTGATGTAGTAGAAAGGTTTCAAACCCCGGTTAATAAGCATCAATTATGCTTCCCGGTGTGTCCATAAATGTGGATCAGAAGACAGAAGAGAACTTACATGAAGAGGGAGTGATGCTGACGCCAGAGACGCCACTGAAGAAGGATTGTGAGGGGAATCATCTTGAGAGGAGAAGATAGAAGAACCGGATGCTGCCTCACCATTTCTCTCCTCCATAGTGTGCGCATCTTCCAGAGCCACACGCAGGCTCATTACACGCTCAAGCTGCAAGATTAATATATATATGTATGTATGTATGTATGTGTGTGTGTGTGTGTGTGTGTGTGTGTGTATGTGTGTGTGTGTGTATGTGTTTGTGTGTGTGTGTGTATGTGTGTGTGTGTATGTGTGTGTGTTGTGTGTATGTGTGTGTGGTGTGTGTGTGTGTGTGTGTGTGTGTGTGTGTGTGTGTGTGTGTGTGTGTGTGTGTGTGTGTGTGTGTGTGTATGTGTTTGTGTGTGTGTGTATGTGCGTGTGTGTATGTGTGTGTGTGTGTGTGTGTACTCACCTATTTGTGGTTGCAGGGGTCGAGTCCTAGCTCCTGGCCCCGCCTCTTCACCGGTTGCTACTAGGCCCTCTCTCTCCCTGCTCCATGAGCTTTATCAAACCTCGTCTTAAAACTGTGTATGGTTCCTGCCTCCACTACGTCATTTTCTAGGCTATTCCACTGCCTTACAACTCTATGACTGTGTGTGTGTGTGTGTGTGTGTGTGTGTTTCAAAATACCAGCAGAAATCTCTCATTTTTCGTGCACAACAAATATAATTTATATAATTTCAATTGATATAATTTTTCATACTCTGCTTTTATCTATGTAATTTAATCTCATATTATATAGTGTATTATATGGTATAATTGTGTAATTATAGAGTAATGTATTTTGAAGCTGTATATTGCACTAAACTCTGCAGTTGTATTCGTATTGCAAATAATACGTTACGTATTTATTCTACGCAATTTACGTAATGCAGATGCGTAATGTGAATATAATAAAAATTAATAAATCAAGTAAGGAACACGAAATTAGATATTTTTTCTTACACTCAAGGAAAAAAAAAACAGTTATTGTTTTGCCTGTTCTAAAACGCGTTCGTAACGAGTTTCAAGATAAATATCGAAAGCTACGTGTAAACACTGATATGTTGGTATACACAGAAAAATCCACTGGCTACTGTAACAAGCAATTTTCTGCTGAGTGTCTGAGTGTGTGTGACCGAAATACAGTGGACCCCCGGTTAACGATATTTTTTCACTCCAGAAGTATGTTCAGGTGCCAGTATCGACCGAATTTGTTCCCATTAGAAATATTGTGAAGTAGATTAGTCCATTTCAGACCCCCAAACATACACGTACAAACGCACTTACATAAATACACTTACATAATTGGTCACATTCAGAGGTAATCGTTATGCGGGGGTCCACTGTATACAGCATTGATTTGTCTTATCTTTAAATATTTCGTTTGTGTTACTGATCAGTGCTTATCGCACATTGTTTTCGATGCTGTTTATTATATGCGATAAATTTTAAGAGGTTTACCCCTTAAACGGTCCAAACGTATATATACGTTTTTTCAACATCTGAACGTATGTAAAAAAATGTAGATTTTTTTTTTGTTTTACATGTGTAAACGTGTAAAAAAAACTTTTATGTACATTTTTTTTTCTAGCACTACGAATTTGAACGTCGATCTGTTTGGACCGTTTAAGGTTTAAAGCCCTTTCCCCCCCCCAAAAAAAAAAATAATGTGGGTTTGCAATATACATATTAGTGTGTAAGTTCGGTTCAATTTTGAAAGCTAACTTAGCATTATCCCGATAAATATCAGATACGACTGAAAGTTTTAAGTAAATTATATTAAGCGATAAAATCTGGTAACTGAAGAAAGTGCCAAGAGAAAGTATGGTTACTCACATCTTGCAGATGGAGAGCCAGCAGTCCATGTAACTTGATTGGATCTATGAAAGCTCCGTGGCTTTGCCTCACGCTGACCCACACACACGCAAAGGGAGCTGGAGAGGGTGAGGCTTGGCTGGCAAGGCTGAAGTCATGTGTAAAAGGTCTTTGAAAGGTTGAGATGGGAGAAGTTTGTGGCGCAGTGAGGCCATACACACTGACGACCTCCACAGCTTCAGCTTCCTTCCCCACAGCTTGAATCACAGCTTGTGTCAGCCTACCAAGCCCACCACCACCATGCTTGTAAAACATTAGATGTATTATTAACGTTAATGGTTCTAAGGATTACTGTCCTATCCAGCCTCGTCTAAGATCAGGCCTCTAGAGGTGCTGAGAGTTTTTTAGGGAGATATTTTTATACCAAAAAACTAAACTAAACCCGTGTGAGGGTGATACAGCACAAGATGGAGAACTCACGGAAAGGCAACGAAGTGGAAAAATTTCTACGTGTGTAAAAGACTCTAATATCGAATCGCTTTGATATGATGCCTTAAGCTTAAAATGGATTCATTGTTCAAAACAAATCAATATCTAAACAAAGCTTCAGCGTAAAGCTTTTACTTCAGCTTCAGCTGAGTAATGATCCTTGCCACAGAGTCAGCTTATCTTAAATCAGCACATTAATGATCTTTGCCACCGAGTCTACTAATCAACACTTTTTTTTTTGAGAGAGGTAAGCATCTTAGTATTAACATGTATTATCACAAGATCATTATGATCACTTTACTAACCACGACGCACAGTATATACAAATGTAAGATGGTAACCAAATACATATATAAGACAACATAACTACTGCTTGATTTTACTGTCACGTCTAAGAAGAACGTAAATCACCATGCTGTTGCTGGAACAAATTACAGCTAACCTAAAAATTGGATCTGACTCTAAGTCCAGGAAAGATACATATACATTTCTAGTTTGATGTCCAGTTTGTCAGCTATTCTCGTATCAAAAGAAAAAGTGTTACCAGTGGCGTCCATCCAGCAGTAAGGGACGCAGGTATGGTAGGCGTGAGAGTGACTGGAACTGCGTGAGCCAGGGACTCCGGTGTCAAGTATCTTACTATGACACTCACGTTGGCTGCCACGTCCCTCTGGTTCCACACCCGGTCCGACACACGGAAGTGTAGCTCATACCTGAGAGGAGAAAGATACTGTCAGACCCTGACGTGTTGTTTGTATCTGATGGTGTCGCATTTTCCAAAAATGGATTTTAAATATATGCTGAAAAACTTTAATATATTATATAGTGTTGCCTGCGTGAAGGACACTGCAATGAGGACTGAATTTTAAGGAATTCCACTGCTTACGTTACCCCAGATAAACATCTTGCTTCTCACTACAACTCTTCTTTACTTTCTCTTAGATGCCCCGTCTTGGAGAGCAGTACACTCTTTCTTATTCCATCGAAGACTTGCACTTTGAGAATTAACCACCCGAGTTATACCGTTTGAAATACCATCCAACAGGACAAGAATATGCAAGCCACCATATCACTTTTCCTATTGTATTTACTTTAGTCTCTCGTAAACTCTAATAGGATCATAAATCATTTTAATTAACTCATTTAATTAAAATGTAAATAAAGTTAAAATGAAGATGAAAACAACGTTAAACCCGATAAAACGTGTAAAAATTTAGTATGAGTTTATTTTGGGCATTACAGTACATGCAGTGGTTTACACATTCGACGATGCAGTCTTACCTTCCCTCTCTCAGCTGAGTAGAGGCAAATATATCACCAGTGTTGGGTTGAAGAGTGAAGAGCGGGTGAGGTGGTCCAGCCCACTCAAAAGTTTTATCCTGGAGGTCCCAGTCATCAGGGTCCTCCACGTAGACTCTGCCCAGGGCAGCATCAGCGCCCCCGCCCTGCCACGGTCACTTGGTCAGTCAGTAATTGTTAACAACTATAATGGAGCATTTTCCGTGAACTGATAATGAGCACCGCACCAGTAATGATTAATGATGTTATAGACATATCTGGTTCCAGTACTAATTAAAATATAGGATAACCTTTAATGAAAAACTAATTTTTAAAAGATTCACGACGTACCTGGTTTAATTATACAACGAAGGAGCATGACTTCAAACAATTAATAAAAATTATTAATTCAACCTTGCATTATGCATTAGCAATATTTTGTAAAATATTCAATGAAAAAATAGTAGATTTTTTCACTTCTGCTTCAGCACGATAATTCATATATAAAACTAAAGATATTCAGGCAGAAATTTCCTATAGTGGGGAAATAAATCTTAATTTTCCTCGGGTTTGATGCTCTCAACAACCAGGTTATATATCTCTTCAGAATTAACACGAAGCCATACATAATATAAAATATTTTTTAAAGGATTTTTTTTATATAATATTAGTGAAGAATCAAGCCCGTGAGGGTCACTGTGCGAGAGGAATGACGGAGGCTGCATCCCTTGACTACCCGTCGTAACACAGACACGCTACTTTAACCCACTCAGTGAAGAACAGCCAATTAAGAAGATAGGTGGGAAGTGACCTGTGTCTTCCAGAGGTAGACAGTCTTGGAGGCTGGTCTCATGGGGTTATCATTGATGTCATCAACGATGATAGTGATGGGATGAGCAGCTGCCAGACCTTGTACGTCTGTCACCTCCACCTCAGCCGTCAGTTGGCGGTGCTCCTCCCGGTCCAGTGGTCCAGTGGTCCATACCTCGGCCCCTCCTCGACCACTGTCCAGGCCTGCTCGTAAATATTACTATAATTAGCTTGAAATATACGATATCAGATGAAAGATGAGCAAAGTCAACAACACTCGACTCTGCTACGAGTACAATAACCTATTTTTCTTTGCTAATTTGTGAGCATATAGGTTTTACGTAAGATCTCTTATCTTAAACTAACTTAACCTATTTTATATTAGAAATGCACTTCTTATAGAGAGAGTGTTGACTGATTTCCTATGATGGTGTGGGTGTGAGTGGTACTTACCTGACTGGTAGTTGATACTGATAATATTGAAGACGTGGGCAGGGTTGGAGGGAGCCAGGGTGAAGGTGAAGGGAGGACCGTGCCCCAGCGCCCACACGTCATCGTCAGTAGCTGTGAGGATACCCAGGAGGGAGGCGGGGGCGCCCTCCCTCACGTGGAGGACGGTGGGGGGCAGGAGCCGCGGGGGGCAGTCGTTGACGATCTGTGAGGGTGATGGTGAGGGTAGCGGTGGAGGAGAGGGATGGGCGGCCTTCATCCACAGCCACCACCCTCGCCACGCCCACCTCCCCAGCCCGGAGCTTCACGGTCTAGGGCGCGCCATAACCTCACGCCCCCGTCAGCGTCTACAGTCACTGCGCCCCAGCCTCCCACCACACGGTAGTCCACGCCTTGCTGCTCCATCTGCAACAGTTTACAAAAGTTCCTACAAGTGCCAGCTTTTGTGTAATGCAACAGTCAGATAAAACTAAAATTCACTGAAGAGTAGAACATCCAACAAGGGCATGAAGTCTTCTCTATTCTTCCAGTGAACATTATGGAATGTTCGTTCGTGTTGATTCTCTGAACTAATTAACAATGAAAAGGTTGAGAATCTTCTGAAGCCTAGTTCATAGGCTCTCTGTGTATGTATAGGCTCTTTCGCTACCGTCCACAGGACGGACCTACTTCTGCAGCACAATCTAAATTTAAAAAAAATATTCATCTAGTAACAAAGGACAATATATCGCCCAAATATCTAAGTCAAATGAAGTGTTGTGGGATGATCTTCAGAATGGTCCTTCTTAAGTGGGTGGTGGCTAATGCTACACCCACATTCTTTTTGTAGAGGTCATTACCGAAGGTGAAGAAGATAAACCTGACGCAGGCTTCGACGAGGTCGACGAAGTCCTGTGCAGGAAAAGGCAAGTCAAGGTTTGCATAGAATCGCTATTGATTGATCGACTTAGAGGTCCCGTCCAAGCTAGCGAATTTCTTCTTTGTAATGAACACATCATTACTCCTATGAAAAGAGGTGTATTTCTGACTCTGCCTAATATGCCTAGTAGATGTTTGTCTAAACGTTTGTCAGTATGTAGGTTGCACTGTCAATACTGAAGGTGGTGAGGTTTAATATTAAGATGGATTTATGTGTCTTGGGGAGTCGGTTTTTCCCGTTATTTTACGTCATGGTGATGCTGAGTTTCTCATTATGTATGGATGTGTCAGGAAGGTGAGGAGGGTGATAGTGATCTAAGACAGTGATGGTGATTCTGGGTTACTCACCATGTCAGGATCAGTGGCAGGGAGGGAAGCCAGGAGGGTGCCAGGGGCGGTGTCCTCCCTGACGGTGACGTGGGCGTGTGGGCGGCTGAACTGAGGTGGGTTGTCATTCACGTCACGTAGCGACACTTCTACCCACGCTGTGTCCGTGTGTCTGGCGTCACTCCACCCACCTCGACCCTGTGTACATCACACAATCAACTCACTAACTAACGAACAAAAATTCTACCAGAAAACTGAGCAACGTTTTCGCCCAACTTGTCCTCTTGTCAAGTCACTGCAACGTAGAAGGAGCGAAAAAAAACCCAGCTGGCTCTTGCTTCCATGTAAATGTGATTTTTATTTATGTAAATTGTGAAAATATGACCTAGAAGAGAAATACCAACTAAATGCAATTACTGTGTGGCACTAATAACCACAACTGGTGGCCTGGTGGTTAACGCTCTCGCTTCACACGGTGAGGGCCTGGGTTCGATTCCCAGCCAGAGTAGAAACATTGGACGTGTTTCTTTCCACCTGTTGTCTATGTTCCCCATCAGTAAAATGGGTACCTGGGTGTTAGTCGACTGGTGTGGGTCGCATCCTGGGACACTGACCTAAGGAGGCCTGGTCACAGACCGGGCCGCGGGGTCGTTGACCCCCGGAACTCTCTCCAGATAAACTCCAGAAACAACTGGGGAATGAACTGTAACCATGACTATATGTGACTCACCCTGTCTGTGACCTGCACCATGACTATACGTGACTCACTCTGTCTATGACCTGCACCATGACCACACGTGACTCACCCTATCTGTGACCTGCACCATGAAGCGGAAGCCTCGTCGTTGGGCCGCGTCTTCGTAGTCCAGCGTCTTGTTGGCGAAGAGGTGACCCATGACTCCCTCAGTTCGCATCCCGAAGTGTTGCCACCCCCACCCGCTGGACTCAACAACCTGTAACACAACACAGGCCAGTGTTTCCAAACAATTGTAAGTAAAACGCTGGAGAGTTGTGCCTCTGACAGAAGTAGAGAGTGTTATGACCTGGCAGGAATTTTAATTTGAAGACCAGGTATCAAAATCGTGGCCGACAGTGACGAAAATTGCGACGCTAACTACCTGAAGAATCTAGCTGAACCTGAAGTAATTCATGAGATGAAATAGCAAATTTATCTAGAGATAGCAGAAATAACTCAAGAGAGGCAGATTAAAATAAATAGCGACATAGAAAAGTTAGCTGATGCTACTGACCCGGTAGAAGAAATAGTTTGAGGTGTCGTGGTCAGCGGTGGAGACCTGAAGGAGAGTGTGGTTGGTGGGAGGTCCGTCACCCCAGGTCTCATCCACCTCAACCTGCCACAGGTCACGGGTCAGTCGTGGTGAGTTGTCGTTGACGTCTGCCAGGCGAACCACCACCGTCCCCGTACCTGTCAAGGTAAACACCCTCCGTCAGTTTTCTGTTAACGGAGCACCACCACTGTTCCAGTCTCCAGTGACGCAAGCACCTCTATTCTCCCAGACCGTGATGACGCAAGCACCTCTATTCTCCCAGACCGTGATGACGCAAGCACCTCCACTCTTCTAGTCCTTGATGACGCAAGTACCTCCATTCTCCCAGACCGTGATGACGCAAACACCTCCACTCTTCTAGTCCTTGATGACGCAAGTACCCCCATTCTCCCAGGCCGTGATGACAAAAGCACCACTACCCTCCTCCCCCAGAACCGCCAGTCGATCGAAAGTTTGAAGGTGGAACCAGGAGATGGAGCTCAAGCACCCCTCCATCAGAAACTTTGCAAGGTAATCATTACCTAGATATTTGTTGTAGCCACAGTGATCATGCTAGTTACCTCGCTCCTTCATTATCAGTAAAGGTGAAGAATCAACGAGTTTTTGGGCTATATTCAACATGCATTTAATAATAATGTGTAGTATTTTAATGTATACTGACATCAGACCCAAAAAATACTTGTTCTTATGTGATACATGAGTTTCAGTCCCACCTGTTCTGTAATTTGTGTCTTTTACAATGAATATTGAATATTTTACAATGCTCTGTTACCCACCTAGTTGTATGTTAATTTCCTCTCGGAAGTGATTTTTGTTGACTCAGTCATGTTGTTTTAGCTTTTGCTTACCTTTATTGTTATTATTGTCAAATTCTCTAGCATTCTCCCTGGAAGACATTACACTCACTCTTGAGGCCACAACACTCACCTATGAGGGTCATAATACTCACCCTTGAGGCCACAAGACCCACCCTAGAGGCCACAAGACTCACCCTTGAGGCCACAAGACTCACCCTTGAGGCCACAAGACTCACCCTTGAGGCCACAAGACTCACCCTTGAGGCCACAAGACTCACCCTAGAGGCCACAAGACTCACCCTAGAGGCCACAAGACTCACCCTAGAGGCCACAAGACTCACCCTAGAGGCCACAAGACCCACCCTAGAGGCCACAAGACTCACCCTTGAGGCCACAAGACTCACCCTAGAGGCCACAAGACTCACCCTTGAGGCCACAAGACTCACCCTAGAGGCCACAAGACTCACCCTAGAGGCCACAAGACTCACCCTTGAGGCCAACAAGACTCACCCTAGGCCACAAGACTCACCCTAGAGGCCACAAGACTCACCCTTGAGGCCACAAGACTCACCCTTGAGGTCACAAGACTCACCCTAGAGGCCACAAGACTCACCCTAGAGGCCACAAGACTCACCCTAGAGGCCACAAGACTCACCCTAGAGGCCACAAGACTCACCTTGAGGCCACAAGACTCACCCTAGAGGCCACAAGACTCACCCTAGAGGCCACAAGACTCACCCTAGAGGCCACAAGACTCACCCTAGAGGCCACAAGACTCACCCTAGAGGCCACAAGACTCACCCTTGAGGCCACAAGACCCACCCTAGAGGCCACAAGACTCACCCTTGAGGCCCAAAAGACTCCCCCTAGGGCCCAAGACCCCCTTGGCCACAAGACTCACCCTAGAGGCCACAAGTCCCCTAGGGGCCACAAGACTCACCCTTGGGGGCCACGACTCACCCTAGGGGCCCCAAAAGACTCCCCTAGGGCCAAAGATTACCCTAGAGGCCACAAATCACCCTTGGGGTTTCAAAGACTCCCCCTTGAGGCCAAAAGGGGATCCCCCTAGAGGCACAAGATCACCCTAGAGGCCACAAGCTACCTAGAGGCCACAAGATCCCCCTAGAGGCCACAAGACCCCCCTAGAGGCCACAGACCACCCTAGAGGCCACAAGACTCACCCAGAGGCCACAAGACTCCCTAGAGGCCACAAGACTCACCCTTGAGGCCACAAGACTCACCCTAGAGGCCACAAGACTCACCCTAAGGCCACAAGACTCCCCCTAGAGGCCACAGACTCACCCTAGAGGCCACAAGACTCACCTAGAGGCCAAAAGGGACCCACCCTAGAGGCCGCAAGACCCCACCCTAGAGGCCACAGACTCACCTAGAGGCCACAAAACTCACCCTTGAGGCCCCCCGTCCACAGCACCACTTGGATGAAGTACTCTGGAGTACTCTCGCGGTCCAGACAACAGATGGCAGTACGGACGAGTCCAGTCTCTGGGTTGATAGTGAAGATAGCTTGACCTGAACGTTCATCCATCACGTTCTTCTCTATGGTATAAGTAGGTGGGCGTTGGTGCCTTCCTTCTCGTCGTCAGCGTCCCACGCCCACACCACGCCCACGGACAGGTCTGGAGGAGAGGAAAGGGTTATAATGCATCATTATATATATACATATATATATTATATATATATATATATTATATATATATATATATATATATATATATATATATATTATATATATATTTTATATATATATATATATATATATGTAAAATTATATATATATAATATATTAAAGTAACCACAAGCACTGTCACCACAACCACAACCACTACAACCACCACCACCACCTCTCCCTGGGATGACACTAACGATCATCTCTCCCTGGGATGACACTAACGATCATCTCTCCCTGGGGTGCCATCCACGACTACCTCTCCCTGGGGTGCCAGCCACGACTACCATTAAGCTTGAGGGAACCAAGACTTTTCATCGTCCTCCCTTCTTGTATTCGGAGGAATACCAACAGACCTCCGATTGTCTTCAAGAAAGAACCGGACGCGTTTCTCAAATCACTGCCTGATCAGCCGGGCAGTGGTGTTTCCGCTGGATTCCTCGCGGCCAGCACCAACAGGCTTGTTGATCAGGTCATCCACCAGAAGGCCTCGTCTTGGACCGAGCCGCAGGGGCGTTGACACTCGAAACACTCTTCAGGTAGACGCCAGGTTAGTAGACTCTTGTTACAGAGAAGGAGGCGTTAAAAACGTGAAAAATATCAGTCGCAATACAGTAACTGGAAGCTTTCGATACGTTTCGCGCCATAATAGACAATTATCATTCATGGATAATGGCCCATGATGGAGCGAAACGTCGTCTAAAGTTACAATAGTGATTCTACAGTCTTTCAAATGAATGATTTATGGCCACATTTCTCCTTTATATGAATACATTGAATAAAGTAACTTGTATTATATCTAAAGTAACTCGAATTATTTTTTTATCTAATAGGAAATTAATTGTTTCATAACTGATCAAAAATTAGTTAGTTCACCTTAGCAATAAAATTTGAAAGAAATGGTTAATTAAAGTCAATAAAAAGTAACTTTATTGATAATACAAGTTGTGTAGTTGAAACCTTGCGTCCAAGATGAAGCCTTGCGTCCAAGATGAAGCCTTGCGTCCAAGATGAAGCCTTGCGTCCTAGTTGAAGCCTTGCGTCCAAGATGAAGCCTTGCGTCCTAGTTGAAGCCTTGCGTCCAAGACGAAGCCTTGCGTCCAAGATGAAGCCTTGCGTCCAAGTTGAAGCCTTGCGTCCAAGATGAAGCCTTGCGTCCTAGTTGAAGCCTTGCGTCCAAGATGAAGCCTTGCGTCCAAGATGAAGCCTTGCGTCCAAGATGAAGCCTTGAGTCCAAGTTGAAACCTTGCGTCCAAGTTGAAGCCTTGCGTCCAAGATGAAGCCTTGCGTCCTAGTTGAAGCCTTGCTTTCCAAGATGAAGCCTTGCGTCCTAGTGAAGCCTTGCGTCCAAGATAAAGCCTTGCGTCCTAGTTGAAGCTTGCGTCAAAAACGAACCTTGCGTCCAAGATGAAGCCTTGCGTCCTAGTTGAAGCCTTGCGTCCAAGATGAAGCCTTGCGTCCTAGTTGAAGCCTTGCGTCCAAGATGAAGCCTTGCGTCCAAGATGAAGCCTTGCGTCCAAGATGAACTTGTCCAGTTGAAACCTTGCGTCCAAGATGAAGCCTTGCGTCCAAGATGAAGCCTTGCGTCCAAGATGAAGCCTTGAGTCCAAGTTGAAACCTTGCGTCCAAGTGAAGCCTTGCGTCCAAGATGAAAGCCTTGCGTCCAAGTTGAAGCCTTGCGTCCAAGAAGAAGCCTTGCGTCCTAGTTGAAGCCTTGCGTCCAAGATGAAGCCTTGCGTCCTAGTTGAAGCCTTGCGTCCTAGATGAAGCCTTGCGTCCAAGATGAAGCCTTGCGTCCTAGTTGAAGCTTTGCGTCCTAGTTGAAGCCTTGCGTTCTAGATGAAGCCTTGCGTCCTAGTTGAAGCCTTGCGTCCTAGATGAAGCCTTGCGTCCAAGATGAAGCCTTGCGTCCTAGATGAAGCCTTGCGTCCTAGTTGAAAGCCTTCGTACCAAGAAGAAAGCCTTCGTCAAGATGAAGCCTTGCGTCCAAAGATGAAACTTCGTCCCAGATGAAGCCTTGAGTCCAAGTGAAACCTTGCGTCCAAGTTGAAGCCTTGCGTCCAAGATGAAGCCTTGCGTCCTAGTTGAAGCCTTGCGTCCAAGAAGAAGCCTTGCGTCCAAGATGAAGCCTTGTGTCTTAGTTGAAGCCTTGCGTTCTAGATGAAGCCTTGCTCTTAGAGCTTTCCGTCCTAGATGAGGCTCCCTTCTAATAAAGGATTCCGCCTGATACAAGCGATTGAAACCCTCCACTCGTAATGAAGGTTTCCAGCAACGTCTTACACAAACCCTCAAGCAAAGTGTCAACCTCAGCTCCTGAGGGTAATTACACCAGCGCTGAGAGGTGCCAGTAGCCACCCACAGCGCTGAGAGGTGCCAGTAACCACCCACAGCGCTGAGAGGTGCCAGTAACCATCCACAGCGCTGAGAGGTGCCAGTAACCACCCACAGCGCTGAGAGGTGCCAGTAACCACCCACAGCGCTGAGAAGTGCCAGTAGCCACCCACAGCTCTGAGAGGTGCCAGTAGCCACCCACAGCGCTGAGAAGTGCCAGTAGCCACCCACAGCGCTGAGAGGTGCCAGTAACCACTCACAGCGCTGAGAAGTGCCACTAACCACCCACAGCGCTGAGAGGTGCCAGTAACCATCCACAAATGCGACACCACCTACGACTGCTGCCCCTCACCTGTCAACGGTTCATAAGCTGCTTCTCCGCTCATATGCCGTATTCTATTCAAGATTGATGGACTGACCACATCGACTCAAGGTTGAGGGACTGATTACCTCATTCTCCTCCTGTTCTTCAAGTTTCTCCTTTGTATGGACTGATGAAGCCACTGTGTGGCGAAACGTTGCCTCAATAAAGATACCCAAGAGTTGCACATGTGTCTAATTCAACAACGTGTCGGTTCTCTGAACCATTCATCTACAATCCTGTCAGACAATGCAACTTCTTGGGATCTTAATACTTGGGAATTCTTCACTTGCCTAACCCTTGGGCACGACCTACATCCACATCGCTGAGAGGTGCCAGTAACCACCTACAGCGCTGAGAGGTGCCAATAACCACCTACAGCGCTGAGAGGTGCCAGTAACCACCCACAGCGCTGAGAGGTGCCAGTAACCACCCACAGCGCTAAGAGGTGCCAGTAACCACCCACAGCGCTGAGAGGTGCTAGTAACCACCTACAGCGCTGAGAGGTGCCAGTAACCACCCACAGCGCTAAGAGGTGCCAGTTACCACCCACAGCGCTGAGAGGTGCTAGTAACCACCTACAGCGCTGAGAGGTGCCAGTAACCACCTACAGCGCTGAGAGGTGCCAGTAACCACCCACAGCGCTAAGAGGTGCCCGTTACCACCCCACAGCGCTGAGAGGTGCCAGTAACCACCCACAGCGCTGAGAGGTGCCAGTAACCACCCACAGCGCTGAGAGGTGCCAGTAACCACCCACAGTGCTGAGAGGTGCCAGTAACCACCCACAGCGCTGAGAGGTGCCAGTAACCACCCACAGTGCTGAGAGGTGCCAGTAACCACCCACAGCGCTGAGAGGTGCCAGTAACCACTCACAGCGCTGAGAGGTGCCAGTAACCACCCACAGCGCTAAGAGGTGCCAGTTACCACCCACAGCGCTGAGAGGTGCCAGTAACCACCCACAGCGCTGAGAGGTGCCAGTAACCACCCACAGCGCTGAAGGTGCCAGTAACCACCCACAGTGCTGAGAGGTGCCAGTAACCACCACAGCGCTGAGAGGTGCCAGTAACCACTCACAGTGCTGAGAGTGCCAGTAACCACCCACAGCGCTGAGAGTCCAGTAACCACTCACAGCGCTGAGAGGTGCCAGTAACCACCCACAGCGCTGAGAGGTGCCAGTAACCACCCACAGCGCTGAGAGATGTCAGTAACCACCCACAGCGCTGAGAGGTGCCAGTAACCACTCACAGCGCTGAGAGGGACCAGTAACCACTCACAGCGCTGAGAGGTGCCAGTAACCACCCACAGTGCTGAGAAGTGTCAGTAACCACCCACAGCGCTGAGAGGTGCCAGTAACCACTCACGGCACTGAGATGTGCCAGTAACCACTCACAGCGCTGAGAGGTGCCAGTAACCACCCACAGCGCTAAGAGGTGCCAGTTACCACCCACAGCGCTGAGAGGTGCCAGTAACCACCCACAGCGCTGAGAGGTGCCAGTAACCACCCACAGCGCTGAGAGGTGCCAGTAACCACCCACAGCGCTGAGAGGTGCCAGTAACTACCCACAGCGCTGAGAGGTGCCATTAACCACCCACAGCGCTGAGAGGTGCCAGTAACCACCCACAGCGCTGAGAGGTGCCAGTAACTACCCACAGCGCTGAGAGGTGCCATTAACCACCCACAGCGCTGAGAGGTGCCAGTAACCACCCACAGCGCTGAGAGGTGCCAGTAACCACCCACAGCGCTGAGAGGTGCCAGTAACCATCCAAAGCGCTGAGAGGTGCCAGTAAGCACGCACAGCGCTGAGAAGTGCCAGTAAGCACGCACAGCGCTGAGAAGTGCCAGTAACCACCCACAGCGCTGAAAGGTGTCAGTAACCATCCACAGCGCTGAGAGGTGCCAGTAACCACCCACAGCACTGAGAGAGGTGCCAGTGACCACCCACAGCAAGATTGTACTGCGGGCTGAAGGCTTTGCAGTCCCACAAGCGGGTGATAATTATCCACAAGCGGGTGATAATTATCCACAAGCGGGTGATAATTATCCACAGGCGGGCGATTATCACGTATTAGTCCCCAGCTAATCTGCTCTAGACCCTGATGTGCCACTTCAGGCTAATTTGCATGTTAGAGCAATAATCAGATGTAACAACAATCTGGAAAGAGAGAGAGAGAGAGAGAGAGAGAGAGAGAGAGAGAGAAAGAGAGAGAGAGAGAGAGAGAAAGGAGATGGAGGAAGGGAAGGGATGAAAGGGAGAAGA